GACAGAAGTAAATTTACTTTTGAAAAGTATTTAGCGAAAATTTCAAATCTTTCTTCCCAAGTTTCACATTTTCTTTAATTGCAGTAAAACCTGTCAAATTATACGCTCTACTTTTATAATCTACTTATTATAAAATGAGAAATATTTATAATATAAAACTGACAGTAAGAAACTGTCATACATAAAATATTATAACAAATAACAAATCCTACTCAGGTTATACCTAACAAGGTAAACCTAACAAGGTTAACCAAGGTTCACAAACAAAGTTGTAAACCCATGTTGAACCTCGTTTTGCATGGAAAAATATGCGCAATAATATTATGTGTGCAATGTGTATGTGCGCAATAATGTCATGTGCGCAATGTGTATGTGTGCAATAATGTCTTGTGTGCAAACGTACGTTTGTATTTTTAATTTTTAAATGTGCGCATAATATTATGTGTGCAATGTGTATGTGCGCAATAATATTATGTGTGCAATGTGTATGTGCGCAATGATGTCATGTGTGCAGTCTGTATGTGTGCAATAATGTCTTGTGTGCAAACGTACGTTTGTATTTTCAATTTTTAAATGTGCGCAATAATGCTTGTAGGCATTCCCAGCCTAATGGGAAATCCGCCCCTGCGTGGCATAAAATTATGACAAAAATAAGAAGAGAGAAAATATAGAAAGAGACATTTACGTTCCTAATAGCAGAGAAAAATTATTGTATTCTTTATTGTATCTGCAAAAACGCATTATTGTAATTTTACGAGCGTAATTACCATTTCTTAAATTCTTGATATCATCAACACAGATTTAATATGAACAACAACTTTATACCACAATGATATATTTCTTGTATTATAGTACAATAGATATAATTAACTCTAATAAATGTTTAAGTTTAAATTTATTTAGATTAAAATATAATTTAAGATAACATAGCATTGACGATTGCATTTCAGCTGCATTTTTGTTGCCATGTGCTGTGATGACAAATCATGCTTGCTTTTTATCGCGTAGGTATCTGTCATTAATATCTGATTGCAAATTCTACTCGATATAAGCTACATATGTTTTTGCTATTACGTTAATCATAACCATATAAATGCGACGGACAAAACGTATCGTCACTGAGATAACACTAGCGAATAATGAGAGTAAAAATAATAAATTTACGCGTCTTTTTTGCTAATATGTTACGAAAAAAATATAAATTTTGCTAAAGCTATGAAATCAGCCATTCTTTTTAATACACATAACTTCAAAAACAGTCAATCAATTATTTAAATTAAGAAGATTATTATAATTTTTTTATTAGAACAAATTACTGAATTAGAAACATTTAAAGTGTCTTTTCATTAATTAATTACATACTATTTTCTCACTCATTAGAATCGTCGCGTGAGTAAACTCGATGTATTTCTTTTTATTTTTGATTATCTGAAATATTATAAATTTCATCAGTAAAAAGTTCTATTTGGTTTATTAAATACAAAAAAAGTTACGTTTCTCATAACACCATTTAACAATTTTCGATCAATAACAATTTTCTTTTATATCGTATGGCTTGTTCATATCGGTTGGCTTCTCATTTCACACATCATTATGCAAATTCACGTTTGCATCAGACATCTCTCTCAATTTTGAAAACGTTAAATTTCGTATTTCTTGCACAGTAAGCAAGATGTTGAATTTTCTTTCCAAGCTTTGTTTAATTTCCACAGCCATCATGGAATCCATTCCAAGATCGGATAAAGATCTATTTTGACTTATTACTTTTACGTCTTTTATATCTGCAGCATAAAAATATTATATTGTATTAAATTATATAAAAAAAGTTTAACAATATAATGTATGTGTATATGTGTATACGCAATCGTGTACTTTTGTTCACATTTGAGCATGTAATAATGATTTCTAAGATGTTATGGTATTTAAATAAATAATACATGTAAACATTATCACATCTTGTGTAGATTAAAAGAAACACAAATCTGCGTGCAAATTCCTACCCATAATATTAGCGACAGTATCCACCATATTGACAAGTCCGGATAGTCCCGTTTTTTTTTCAGAAACAATTATACTGCTTACAATCGGTCGGTTTTGGAGTAAAAATTTTTCGAGTTCTACAAAGCAGGAAGATACTTTCTGCTGCTGGGTGCCACCGACAACTGACTCTTTATTGTCTTCCTGCATGTCAGCGACGAGACCTACGTCACCCACAGCTCCCCATTGAATTGCCAATCCGGGTAGTCCTTTATCCGCTCTTTTTTCGCACACTCTTTCCATGATGGAATTGGCCATTCCATAATTAGTTTGCCCAGCGTTTCCTCTTCCGCAAAAAACGGAAGAAAATACTACAAAATGTCGAAGTTTTAAACAGATCTTTCTAGATAGTTTATCTAATGTCTGTGTCGTCCAAGCCTTCGACATGAAAGATTCCGTGAAAGTTTCCACGGTTTGGTTCCTAAGTACACAATCTTTTAAAATCGCAGCAAGATTAAATATCGCATCTACTGGTGCTTGTTTCTCCGCCATTTGTAGAAAATATTCACATTCTTCGGGATTCGCAAGGTTTGCGTTTTTAATTATTTGCACATTTACACCGTATGATTTCCATAACTCAATTCTCATTTGCTGATAGCCATTTTTTATTCCAAATCTTGAAGTTAGAACGACATTCTTAGCGCCTCTAAGTATCAGCCAGTCAGTTAACTCTAAACCAAATCCACCCAAGCCGCCTAGTATAACATAAGTTCTATCGTTGAGGCAGTAATAACGACGGTGTGCAACAATAGGTGAATCCAAAGATTTGCCATCCTCTTGTATATT